GCTCCTTAGAAAGAGAGAGGAAAGGAGGAAGGAAGGGAGGGAGGGAGGGAGGGAGGGAGGGAGGGAGGAAGGAAGGAAGGAAGGAAGGAAGGAAGGAAGGAAATAGAATGTTTCAGAATGTTCTAGCAACCCTGTCCATAATAGCCCCAAACTAGAAATGCTGCAAATGCTTTTGCCCAGGAGAATGGACAGCCAACAGGAGTAGACGCATGCAGTGGGTTACTGGAGAAGAAACATTTGATCAACAACACACAAGAGGGATGAACCTCACAGAGTGAAGGGGGTCACACCCAGTGGCAGGTGCTCCACAGGGTCTGTGGGTGGATGTCCCAAGGTGCATGCAGCAGATCTGTCCTCTTGTTGGCAGGGATGATGCTCACTGCTGCGGAAGAGGAAGGCACACAGGGAGGCCTCCAGTGGCAAGGCAGCTCTGCATGAGGCTTGAGTGCTGGCTGCTTGGCTGGCTGTGTGTGCGCTGTGAGGCTCCACCCAGCTGCAGGAATGCTGGTGAATTGTGCATTTTTCCTGGGAGCATTGCACTTGGCTCCTCTGATCTGAGACACACACATGTGACAGTATCTCATAAAGCTTGTGTAGGGGCAGGTGTTTGGCATAGTCGTGGAGATGCCAGTTGGGTCTCCCACATCCCATAGAGCAGTGCCTGCCTGGTTGAAGTCCCAGCTCCATTTTTCATTCTCCCTTCTTGCTAATGCACACCCTGGCAGCAGACAATGGCTCAGGTAGCTGAGTAACTGCACCCTGAAACCCACATAGGAGACCTAGACTGAGTTCCTACCTCCTGGGATTGTCTTGTTCCAGCCCCAGAATGTTGCATTTGGGGAGTGAACCAGGAAATGGGAGATCTCTCTCTCTCTCTCTCTCTCTCTCTCTCTCTCTCTCTCTCTCTCCACACACACACATACACACACACACACACACACACACACACAACATGTATGCCTGTCCCTTTCTGCCTTTCAAACAAAATAACTTACTTTTAACTTCATGAAGAATGGACTTAAAAGATGAGCTTGGTTTGGTGTTTAACGATTTTGAACTCCATGCATAGTTTTCTCATAATGTGCAACTTTTTGGTGAACTTTTTGAAGATCCATTCATCTTCATGGAGATGCACACACACAACACACATAATAAATTTTTACAAAGAACAAAGGACATGGGGAAAGCCCGTATGTCATTCTCTGGCCATTTACAACTGTCCCATCTAAGAAGTGGCCAGGGTGACAAATTTCAGTCCTTCGGCCTCCATCTCTGATTCTGATCCAATAATAGACTTTCTTGTGATCGTTATCAATCCATGATGCCCTGGGAGAACAGGTGTGCTGATGGGCACTGCCTACAGAGGACAGAGGGGGTGAACTTTGCAGTGGGAGCTGTGGCTGCAGAGCCCAGCCACTGGCCTGGGTGAGCCAAGGAAGCACTGCACAGCCCTCGGCTCCCACCTTTTCTCACCTACTCCTGAGCTCATGCTTGGGACGGACCAGTCTCGCAGACCCTTCTCCCAGGCAAACCCGACCCGAGCATGCAAGATTCTGTCTGGACAAAGCCAGAGGCCAGCATGTGGGAGAGGGCAGCTCCCTGATAGTAGCCTGGGAAAGCAGTAGAAGACGGCACAGGTGCTTGGGCCCCTGCACCCACATAGGAGACCTGGAAGAAGCTCCTGGCTCCTGACTTTGGCCTGGCCCAGCCCTGGCAATTGTGGCCATTTGAGGAGTGAACCAGCGAATGGAAGATAAATCTCACTCTCTCTGTCTAACTCTGTCTTTCAAATATGTAAAATAAATCTTTTATAAAAAGGATGTATATGAAACATAAATGAATTTCACGTTGATACTTGGGTCCCATTCCAAAGATAGCTCATTACTTACATGTATACCAACAATTCCAAAATCTGAAACATTTCTGGTTGCTAGCATTTCAGAGCAGAGATTCTCTGCCCTCAGTAGTTCACCTGCTCTGCAACAGCCTGGCCCAATACCAGTGCTTCCTGTTGATGTCTGTGTGGTTTGGGTTGGATTCTGCATAAACTAAAGCCCTTGATCACACTCAGGCATCTCCTTTTGGAGCCCTCAACAGTGTGGCCACCTCGGCCAGCAGGAGGTGATGGAGACACGGTGCCTGTGCCCATGCAGCAGTGAATTGGATCTGGGTTGGGTTTTAACCAAACAGTTGGCAAATTTTATTTCTTTTTTTTTTAATATTTATTTATTTGGCTGGCGCCATGGCTCACTAGGCTAATCCTCCGCTTGCAGCACTGGCACACCGGTTCTAGTCCCGGTCGGAGCACTGGATTCTGTCCCGGTTGCCCCTCTTCCAGGCCAGCTCTCTGCTATGGCCCAGGAGTGCAGTGGAGGATGGCCCAATGTCCTTGGGCCTTGCACCCGCATGGGAGACCAGGAGAAGCACCTGGCTCCTGGCTTCAGATCAGCGCGGTGCACCAGCCACAGCGTGCCAGCCACGGCAGTCATTGGAGGGTGAACCAACGGCAAAAGGAAGACCTTTATCTCTGTCTCTCTCTCTCACTGTTCACTCTGCCTGTCAAAAAAATTTTTAAAAAGATTTATTTATTTATTTGAAAGTCAGGGTTACACACAGAGAAGAGAGGCAGAGGCAGAGACAGAGGGAGAGAGAGAGAGATAGAGAGTAAGAGAGAAAAGTCTCCCATCTGCTGGTTCACCCCTAGTTGGCTGCAATGGCTAGAGATGCGCCAATCCAAAGCTAGGAGACAGGAGCTTCTTCCAGGCCTCCCACTTGGGTGCAGGGGCCCAAGTACTCGAGTCATCTTCTACTGCTTTCCCATGCCACAGCAGAGAGCTGGATGAGAAGTGGAACAGTCGGGACTCGAACCGGTGCCCGTATGGGATGCTGGCACTACAGGCAGCAGCTTTACCTGCTACGCCACAGCTCAGCCCCAGATTTGGTTTCATATCCCATCCTTTTTCTGCTTTTTAGACCTTACCAACACAGATTTTTAAAAATTTTTATTTATTTGAGAGACAGACACACAGAGTTCTCCCATCTGCTGGTTCACGCCCAAAATGCCTGCAATGGCCAGGGCTCCTCAGGGTGAAGCCAGGAGCCTGGAACTCCATCCAGATTTCATGCAGAGGAACCATACTGGAACCATCACAACTGCCTCCCTTAGGTGAGCAGTGAAATCAAGAGATGGGACAGGTAGTAAACTGAGGTACTCGGATGTTGCCTGGACCATTTTTTTCTAAGATTCATTTATTTATTTGAAAGGCAGAGTCACATAGGGGCAGAAGCAAATAGTGCAAGAAAGAGAGAGAGAGAGAGAGACTTCCATCCACTGGTTCACTCCCTAGATGGCCACAATAGGTGGAGCTTTGCTCATGTGGAGCCAGGAGCCAGAAGCTTTCTCCAGGTTTCCCACGTGGGTGCAGGGGCTCAAGGACTTGGGCCATCTCCCTCTGCTTTCCGAGGCCACAACAGAGAGCTGGATCGGAAGCAGAGCAGCTAGAACTCGAACTCGTGCCCATATGGGATACCAGCACCAAGCAGCAGCTTTCCCCGCTACACCACAGCACTGGCCCCAGCTGTAGCATCTTAACCATTAAGCCAAACATCTGTCCCTATACGATTTTTTTAAATATTTATTTTATTTATTTAAAAGGCAGACAGGCACATGAAAAAATGTTCAAGGTCACTGGCAATCAGGGAAATGCAAATCAAAACCACAATGAGGTTTCACCTCACCCCGGTTAGAATGGCTCACATACAGAAATCTACCAACAACAGATGCTGGCGAGGATGTGGGGAAAAAGGGACACTAACCCACTGTTGGTGGGAATGCAAACTGGTCAAGCCACTATGGAAATCAGTCTGGAGATTCCTCAGAAACCTGAATATAACCCTACCGTTCGACCCAGCCATCCCACTCCTTGGAATTTACCCAAAGGAGTTTAAATTGATAAACAAAAAAGCGGTCTGCACCCTAATGTTTATTGCAGCACAATTCACAATAGCCAAGACCTGGAACCAACCTAAATGCCCATCAACGGTAGACTGGATAAAGAAATTATGGGATATGTATTCTTTAGAGTACTATACCGCAGTAAGAAACAACGAAATCCAGTCATTTGCAACAAAATGGAGGAATCTGGAACACATCATGCTGAGTGAAGTAAGCCAGTCCCAAAGGGACAAATACCATATGTTCTCCCTGATCGGTGACAACTGACTCAACACCAAAAAGGAAACCTCCTGAAGTGAAATGGACACTATGAGAAATGGTGACTTGATCAGCATAGCCCTGACTGCTAATGGACAACTTAATACATTATCCCTCATAGTATTTTTTTTTTGTCTGTTCTACTTAATATGACTGGTTTAATTCTGTAATTATCACACAGTTATTCTTAAGTGTTGAAAATTAACTGAAATGTGATCCCTGTTAAACATAAGAGTGGGAATAAGAGAGGGAAGAGATGTATAATTTGGGGCATGCTCGGGCTGACTTGCCCCAATTGGTAGAGTTGGAAACATACCAGGGGATTCCAATTCAATCCCATCAAGGTGGCATGTGCCAATGCCATCTCACTATTCCAAGTGATCAATTTCAGTTCACAATTGATCATAATGAAAGGACTAAGAGTCAAAGGGAGCACATAAACAAGTCTAGTATCTGCTAACACCAACTGATAGAATAAATAAAGGGGAGAGTGATCCAACATGGGAAGTGAGATACTCAGCAGACTCATAGAATGGCAGATGTCCTAAATAGCACTCTGGCCTCAGAATCAGCCCTAAAGGCACTCGGATCTGGCTGAAAAGCCCATGAGAGTATTTCAGGCATGGAAAGCCAAGACACTCTGGCAAAAAGATCTCTGTGAGTGAGATCCCAGTGGAAAGAACAGGTCTTCAAAGAGGGAGGTGCCTTTCTCTGAAGGGAGGAGAGAACCTCCACTTTGACTATGACCGTGTCTAAACAAGATAAGAGTCGGAGAACTCAAGGGGCTTCCATAGCCTTGGAAACTCATGACTGGTGCATAGGGAGATTACTGATGCCATAAACAGGAGTGTCAATTGGTAAAGTCAACAACAGGAGTCACTGTGCACTTACTCCTCATGTAGGATCTCTGTCCTTAACGTGCTGTACACTGAGGCTTAATGCTATAACGAGTACTCAAACAGTATATTTCACTTTGTGTTTCTATGGGGGTGCAAACGACTGAAATCTTTACTTAATGTACACTAAACTGATCTTCTGTAAAAAAAAAAAAAAAGAAAAAGAAATTATCAATTCCCAACTTGACTCTCACTGGGATTAAACATGACAATAGGTCTGATCTGATTTCATCATCATTTAAAAAAAATCATCTATTATTTTTCACTTTATGTTTCTATGTGGGAGCAAACTGTTGAAATCCTTACTTAATGTATACTAAGCTGATCTTCTGTATATTAAGATAATCGAAAATGAATCTTGATGTGAATGGAAGGGGAGAGGGAGTGGGAAAGGGGAGGGTTGTGGGTGGGAGGGACGGTATGGGGGGGGAAAGCCATTGTAACCCATGAGTCGTACTTTGGAAATTTATATTCATTAAATAAAAGATAAAAAAAAAAATAAAAGGCAGAGCCACATAGCGAGAGGAAGAGACAGTGAGAACAAGATCTTGCAGCTTCTGTTTCACTCCCCCACATGGCCACACAACAACCGAGGTGGACTAGCCTGAAGCCAAGAGCCTGGAACTCCACCCAAGTCCCCAGTGTGGGTGGAAGGAGCACAAGGACTTAGGCCACCTTCTGCTTCTTTCCCAGGTGTACTTGCAGGGAGCTGGATTGGAAACAGAGCAGCCAGGTCTGGAACTGGCACTCTGATGTGGAATGTGGACATCACAGGCGCCAAGATTTATTTTTAGTGGCTTAAAACAGAAGAGTTGTTAAAAAAATTGGAGGAGGGGTATCGTAGAAACACGCCTGGAGATAAACAGCTGCAAGAGAGCACCCTGTGTGCTGAGGATTGAGAGTGAAACAGTTGCCCAAGTAGCCGTCTATCCTGAGGTCGGGTTGGGATTAGCTCTCTGTCCACAGTCCAAATCTTAAGTGCAGGCCACTTCCTGGCAGGTGCAGCCCTCAGTAACTTATAAGTGCCTGGCAAAGGCTCCACAGTGATAAGCAATGTCAATAACCTTTTCGGGCATGCACAGTGATGTCATCCAGCCAGGTAGATAGGGGTACTAGAGGGAAAATGAGCCCTAAAGTACCAGAGTGCCGTCAATTTCCAGAGAAACCATTCTGGAGGCAGCAAGTATCGCACTGAGACCTGTCACACCCCACATCAGAGCACCTGTGTCCCAAATCTCAGGGGGCCAACAATGGCGTTCATGGCTAAGGTCTTCCTGAATGTGCCTGGAGCCAGCCCTTCATCACCAACAGAGCGAATGTGTCCCTGGGTGCTGGGGAATGTGAGCCACGCCTCCTTATTCATTCCCACTCCTAGAAAAGGAGGTATCGGGAGCCGGTGCTGTGGCACAGTGGGTTAGAGCCCCAGCCTGCAGCGCTGGCGTCCCTTATGGATGCCAGTTCGAATCCTGGCTGCTTCACTTCCTATCCCACTCCATGTTAATGGCCTTGGAAAGCAGTAGAAGATGACTCAAGTGCATAGGCCGCTGCACTTACATGTGAGACCTGGAAGAAGCTCCTGGCTCCTGGCTTCAGATCAACTCAGCTGTGGCCGTCACGGCCAGTTGGGGGGTGAACCAGCAGATGGAAGACCTCTCTCTCTCTCTCTCTCTCTCTCTCTCTGTGTGTGTGTGTATCTCTCTGTAACTCTTTCAAATAAACAAAATAAATCTTAAAAAAAAAAAAACAGGGCAGCAGGTGGATCCCTTGGAGAAAGTCATGATTTTTCTAAAACCTCAAGCAACAGTGAGTGTTTTCCAGTCAAAGGAAACCAAGATATTGGCAGAAACCCAATCTAAAGTCAAGGGCAATGTTGACCCCAAGGCTCCTGGCAGCCTGGGAGAGATTAGAGTGAAGCACGTGGGAATATCCCAGGCAGGCAGCTGGAACTCGGTGCAGAGGACAATGGCCAGGGGTCACTGAGAACAGATTCCAAGCGTGAGCTGCAGGCCTGAGACACAGCTAAGCTCAGGCCATGCCCTGGGAGGGCAAAGCCCTACAAGCTGCCTGTGGATTTCGAGAAGCTTCCCTTCTCCGAGTCACCCCAGCATCCTTGATCTCACAGCCATCTCACTGTCTGCACGCTGGCACTGAAGTGATGCCAGGACATGTTCTCTTTTTGAATAGCTGAAAATAAAACAAGTTCCCACAAGGCACATGTGTGTGTGACCCACGCCCTGGGGGTGCAGGAATGCCACCCCCACAGTGCGCTGCCTAGCAAATACCTTGAACTCCTGTTTTAGGCATTTCCACCTGCTTTTGGTTCCTCCCAACACTTGTATTCTTCTTCCTGTGCTGTGTTTTCTCCCAGATCTGTCTGCCCACCCTGCTGGCTGCCAGCCACTGTGGCTGCATACATTTGAATTAATCAAAACTTAAGAATGATTGAGTGAGGAGGCTGGTGTAGTGGATAAAGCTGCTCCCTGCAACACCAGCATCCCATATGGGTGCCAGTTCCTTCCTGGCTGCTCCACTTTTGATCCAGCTCCCTGCTAACGAGCCTGGGAAAAGCAGCAAAAGACAGCCCAAGCATTTGGGCCCCTGCCCATATGTGGGAGACCCAGATGAAGCTCCTAGTTTCTGACCATTGCAGCCATATGGAGAGTGAACCAGCAGATGGGAGATTCCATCCATCTCTCCCTCCCTCCCTCCCTCTCTCTCTCTCTCTCTGCCCAGTCCTGCCAAGCACCGCTGTGTGTCCCAGCTTGGACAGCCATGTCTTCTGGGTGCTGGCACTTCCCTTGAAGAGGCGTCATTTCCATTCCCGGTGCACCTGATTTACGTCCTTGTGCCAGCTTACAGACTGTGAGGGACAGCACCGAGGGCTCGCTGTTTCTGACCAGAGTGCATCGCCCTTGAGGATGATGCTGCAGAAATGAGTGACAGCTGCAGCGCTGGCCTCTGTCATTTATTCCTGAGCCAGAGCCCCCTGTGGGACAGGTCACAGACATGAGCCACGCAGCTCCTGCCTGGATGAGGCACCCGACGCCCTGGCAGAGAGCCCCTTGTATCAACACCGTGGTGGGGTGAGCACTGGGATGCAGACCTGCGGGATGCCAGGGAGGGAGGTGATAAGGTCCCTGAGAAGGTGTGACGGATGTCCTCTGGCCACTGGTGGGGTAAAAATAGCGACGAATGAGCAAGAGACCCTGCAGATACAACTGGAGCAAAGGAAGCAGGAGGGAAGCAAGAGCAGTCTGGAGATGGAAGCTGGCTGGCCCTTCCTGTGACAAATCACATCTGTATCTGGGTTTACAGGTGAAATTGGAATCTCATTTCCTTGTCTTCCATTTCTTCTCTCTCTCTCTCTCTCTCTCTCTCTCTCTCTCTCTCTCATTTATCCAAGAGACACAGAGAGAAACAGAGAGATAGATAGACAAGCATCCACTGGCTCACTCCCCCAAATGTGGGCCCACAATGGCCAAGGACCGAAGCCAGCAGCTAAGATGTGGGGATCCCACTTGTGTGGCAGGGACCCAACCACTTGAGCCACCACCACTGCCTCCCGGGGTCTGCATTGTTGGGAAGCTGGAGTCAGGAGCCAGGTGTCGAACACAGTGCCCTGATGTGGGGCAGGACCCCTTTACCTGTACCCTAAATGTTAGGCCACACCTGCCCTCTTCTCTGGTACTGATGCCAAGATTGTACACATTTCATAAAATGAATTTCTGTATTCTCTGTGGATGGTTCTTATCTGTTCATTACTTCTGAACTTATCTTGGAGTACAAGAGTATGTTTTTTTTTTTTTTAAGATTTGTTTATTTTATTTGAAAGGCAGAGTTAGAGAGAGAGAGAGAGAGAGAGAGAGGTCTCCCATCCACTGATTCACCTCCCAACAGCCAGAGCTGGGCCGATCTGAAGCCAGGAGCCAGGAGTTTCTTCCAGGTCTCCAATGTGGGTGACAGGGGCCCAAGGGCTTGACCCACCTTCCACTGCTCTCCCAAGCACATTAGCAAGGAGTTGGATTGGAAATAGAGGAGCCAGAACTTGAACTGGTGCCCCACATGGGATGTCAGGAACACAGACTATGGCTTTTCCCTCTATGCCACAGCACTGGCTCCACGAGAGGAGATATTTTTAGACTCTGCTTTCTTCCTCCCCAAAGCTATCCACTAACCTGACTCTATACCAACAGCACAGATGATGCTGGCTCATTGTTTACTTTATAGAAATTATGCCCAGCTTCTCTGGTTCAACATATGTTTCTGAGATATATTCAGTTACCAGGCTCAGAAATCATCACTCTCCTTACTGTTGCTGGAACCTGGCTGGTTCCCAGCTTGGGAGCTGTGTGCTGTATTCATTGCTACGGACAATCTTGTAGACGCCATTGGTGAGCATGCGAATACTTGCTGTTGGGTATGCACCAGGGGTGCACTTGCTGGTGCATAATGGAGAGGAAACATGGGCAAGGGGTGGTAGGAACGTGCACTCCCTCCTGGAGTTTGGGGTGCTGCACACTCTTGCCAGTACCTCCTACCGTCTCTTCCTTCCTGGAGGGTGTCATGTAGCACTGTTCTCTCGTGCAGATTGTGTGCACGCAGGCGGCAGCTATTCCCCAAGAAGAAGGGCTGTGGTCTCGCCTCTCTCCTCCTCTTCCTCCTCCTCCTCCTCCTCTCAGCTTGCTGGTCACAGTGTCTCGCACTTTGGGGTGAGCATGATGGGCAGGAGCAGATGATGGACAGAGATGTCTTTATGGGTGGCACTCTCTGGGGCTGGAAAGAGAGTAACGCCCTCTCTCTGTCTCAGCTGGACACTGTAGGGATTCTTTACAGACCTGCCTACGCCCATGCTGCCTCCTTGACCTCCATTTGCTCCGGATGGGCCCTGCCTTACAATGCGCTTGCTTCTTGCTTGGTCTCTGTTGCCTAGGACCTAAGACCACCTCCTTGGACCTGCAGCTACACCAGTGTCTCCTTTCTTTCTTGGCTGTGACCCTGAAGCTGCTGGCCAGACAGCAGTGGTCATCCATGCACTGTCCTAGCACCCCCTGCAGAGAGAATTGTTGGGGAGCAAACACAGCGGGAGCCTTACAAAGAGCCCCACCCCCGAAAGAAGGTGCCTTTGACGTTGGTTCCCAGTCACTGCTCATCACAAAAAATAAGAGAAAGATGATCCTTAGGAGTGTATCTGGAAGCATCCAACTCGGCTGGTTGGTGGATGTGGCAATGGGGACACGAAGTGCAGGGGGTTGCATTTTAAGCCACAGCACGTTTGTCTGGGCTGTGTCTCCTGTGGGTGGGACTGGTTCTCCCAGGTCGAACAGGACTTTAGTCAAGGGGCAGAGAGTGAGTCACCATCGGCAGCTACATCACTCAGGAGATTTTTCTTGCCCTTCCATTTACAAATTGGGTTTCCTACACAAGCTGGGCAGTGGAGGCAGCTCCTTAACTCCAGAACCCAAATGTGCCTGTCACGTTTCTCTGTGCAGAGCCCCAGGGCATGGGCTCAGCGCCTCGCAGAGTGCCCAGCTGTGCCTGATCCAGCCCCAGGCCACCTCCTGCATTCCACAGCAATCTTTATACCCTGGTGTCTCCAGGCTCTCCCCCCAACTCCCAGGGACTGTCACCTGTGAGCTGAAAAGCTCACTCCCTCTGGTACGGAAGTTGCATCCTCACCACCCCCATGCACACCCCAGCACCTGTCATCAGCCCAATTCTGATGCACCGAGGAACAGAGCAGAGCTTCCCCACCCCCACCCCCGGTGCTGCTCAGGACTCTGGCAACCTCCTTCACTTTCTGTCTACGAAAACAGCTTAAGTACGACTTCTTAAATGAAAGGGCATGGAAGGCAACACTCAGCCCAGAGGGGATGCAGGCAGCGGCTTTTGTGACATCAATGGCGTGGCCAGATGCGGTTGTACTATGCCACACGCAGTCACTTCCACCTGGGCAGTATGGTGGCCCTCACAGGTGTGCAGTCAGCATGTGGCTGAGCCAGGAGGAACCTGTTATGAAAGAAAACTGCTTGTGGTTGACCCAAGGGAGGCACTGCCTCTAAACCAAAGCCCCTTAACCCAACTTGATCATGCCCTTGGGCCGGCTCTGATTTGGCTGCTTTGACAAGAGGAGCCTGGAAGGGACATCCCAGACTGCACCTGCTGTGGTTGGTACATGTTTGCCCTCACTCTTGGGTGCCAGCCCACAGGGTCACATGTCTGGGTGGGGTTTTCCCGAGGGTCCCTGCTGTGATTGCCTGGAGGGAAGCCTGGGGGTTTGGGCTTCCTAGAAGCAGCTCTCAGGATGCCTGGGCATCTTTGCAGGTGAGCAGGGTCATGTGGAAGAGGCTGTCTACAGAGCACTGCAGGCAGACAGGAGTGTGTGCCCTGTGTGCCCTGGAGCCTTGGTGCAGGCTCTAGGAGCCACCTCTCTCCTAGAGGGACACTGTGGAAGTGCAGACGGATATGGATGCTAGGGAGCTCTGTTGCCCTCATATGCTGGCCTGGGGCCACTGGGGGTCACCTCAGCCCAGACCCTTCATCAGAACTGCCCCCATGGGCACTGCCAAACCCCTTCCCCTCCGAGACTGGGCTACCATTGTCTCAGCCGCGGGGTTCGGGGCTGATGTTTTTCAACCACGGATGACGAAGTGAGCAGGAGGCCCAGACCACACAGCCCGAGTGAGTCAAGCTGTCATGGGCTGCTGGACACCTGCTGGGCCTACAGGAAAACTACAGCAGGTGGCCCATTCTCAGCAAGTGTACGTGGTGCTGACCACACCCCCGAGCTGGATCAGGCTTCTCACTGTGTTTGTGGAGCATTCACTTAAGTGTTTCTGTGTAGACCAGTGTGCACACAAGTCTGGATCCCCGATGAGGATGGGCAAATGACAATCAGGAAGCACTTTCCATGTCTTCTGGCCCTAGGAAGTGCTGGCTAGCTCTGCTCCTTTGCACCTCCTCTCCTCCTTCCCCTCCCCTTCCCTCATGCAACGGGCAGCAGCAGCTAAGAAGTTGGCTGCTTTGAGAATCCAGTGAGCATGGCCGGTCCATCTTCTCATTGAATCACGCACACACACACACACACACACACAGCCTTGCCTTCTGCATCAGGGGTGCACGGAGCTATGGATCCAGGTCAACAACCCTACTCTTGTGTACAACACGCACACATACAAACACACACACACACACAACTCATCAAAGAGTCCGGAGTTGCAGCCCAGAGTTGGGGTATGCACATTATTTCCTGTCTACACCTGTTGGAGGGACCAGTGAGCCATTTCCGGAAGCAGAGAGTCAGCGTCAGGGAATCACCTGCGTTAGCCCACGGTGTCAGTGCCTCACAGTGTGAGTGACAGTTCCACCTCATGGAGTCTTGGGCCTCGGGGACGCTGCTTGCCTGAAGCGTGGATGCAGCCCGCTTGTTGAGGATTATCTGTGGGCTGTTTCTGACACATCTCTCTCTAACTAACACAGCCCAGTTCTGGGGTCTCCTGTTGGAACCATTGCCCTAGAAGCCAGTGGTAAAATGCAGATCAAGTCCCCTCAGTATGCACCAGGAGGAGAGGCAAGTGGATGTGACTCCTGAGCAGACCCATCTGCCTCGGACCTGAGCACTCTTGGTGCCGTGTGTGCTCAGAACTTGCAGAGCCAGGCCAGAGCGCTGGTTAAGAGACAGCCCAGGAGTACTACCTTCATCCTAAATACCCCAGGGAAGTTGGGTAGGGTAGGCTTTGATGAGGATTGGCTCCAGAACCCCTGCAGCTGTTTAAAGTTAAACCCCAGAGTCTTACCTTGATGGAGCTGCAAGGGTAGAATCGTAATCGAGTGGTGTCTAGGGGTTGGCCTGGTGGGAGGTTCTCAGTTCACTGGGGATGTGCCTTTGGAAGGTGGGTCCCACAGTAGGAGTAGACACAGCAGCCTGAGTCAGTCCCCCGCTGGCCTCTCTGCCTTGTGACATGCACGTGCTCCTTCCCCTGAGCCCCAATCCCTTGCTATCATCAACCTCCAGGCAGAACCAAGGGGACCTGTTGATCTTGGACTGTGAACCTCCAAATCTGTAAGCCGGAGTAAACCGCCTTTCTTTCCAAGTGGTTGTGTCAGGTGTTTGTAATGGTGATGGAAAGCTGACATGGGGGATGTGCCCCGAGGACCAGCCCCATGTTGGGGCAGAGGAAGGAGGGTGACTCACCTGGCCACTCCCCAGCCATTGCATTCCCAGCATTGCCTGAGGGTCCTCACCCAGCCACTAGAGAGCCCACGTGACAACAGGACTGTGCCTTTCCTCTTGCAGCCTCCAGCTGAGCAGAGAAAGCATCTGTGGAAGAAATCCCCCGTGCAGCGGCATTAGCTGAGCTAATTGACAATGTAATTAATTAATCACTGTGGTCCTAGGGGGCTTCCTTTCCTGCACCCCCTTAGCTCTGCTTCATTGCAGTATTATCTACACTGAGCTTGCAAGCTCAGTTCTAAGACGAGCAAAACTGGGAGAGAAAGAAAAGGAAAATCCTAAGCCTTCCAGACCCAGAAGTTAGGGGTGAGAGAGAAGGAGGCACGCAGCGGATGGCAGTCCCTTCTCAACACGTCTCCAGATTCTAATCCCGTTCAGTAGTGGCCAAGAAGGCTATGCAAGAGGCAAATGTATTTGCTGAGATGTCTCTGATCCTGACCTTCTGTGGCCCCTTGCAAGGTCCCTGGAGTTTTCTGGTTTGAGTGAGCAATATGCCAGTTCTCACAACTGCCCGTGCAACAGAGTAGTGTCCCAAACCTGGGGAATGGAGGCTGGTGAGAACACGGTTTTCTGGCCATGGCCTTCCACTGGACGTGAGAATTGTCACCCACTGCCTCTCAGAGGTTGTAGGGGTTCAATCAGGTAAGCACATTCAGGCTTTGGAAAAACAAACTTAACTCAAATGGAAAAGAAAGCATAGGTTGCAGGCCAGTGAGTTTCTTCCCTGGAAACGTGGGGCCTGAGACGCTTTTGCCTGCCTTGCATGCAGGAGCAGCCGGTCAGAGACCCTTCCCTGGTCCACACAGGGAGCGAGAGCCGAATCCTCCACTTCGGCCCTCTCTGCTCGGGCGGCTTCTGTCTTTCTGGAGTGGGTTTAGGTTGGCACAGGGGCCACACACTCACTGCTGACCTTGATTTCCTTGTTCTTCTCCAACTCCACAGACAAACAAAGCCGTGGCCAAGGGCGACTTCCACCAGGCCAGCACCAGCTCCCGCCGGGCACTGTTCCTGGCCGTGCTGTCCATCACCATTGGCACTGGCATCTACGTGGGCGTGGCCGTCGCCCTCATTGCCTACCTCTCCAAGAGCAACCACCTCTGAGCTCCCTGCAGGCACGACAGGGGAAGGACTTGGGCCAGGTCCCTGTGGCTGCAGATGGAGGATTGCCCATGACCACACTGGGCCCTGGAATTTTCTACCCATGGATTTCTTTTGTTTCTACCCTCAAAGTTCATTGTCACAGCACTGTGTAGAGCACCGGGCAGACGGGCACTGCGAATCCTTCCCAAGGGAAGCTCCAAAGATCCCAACCTGTAAGGCTGTCCCTGGATAGATTCTGGGGGATGGATGACAATGCAGCTCTCAGCGGCCTGCCAGTGCCTGAAACACCACTGCATTAGCAATATACAAACAGTTTAAAATAAAAGTGTTTATTTTTTATGGAATACGGTGCAATAGGCAGAGGGCCGGGGGCCGTGTTGCTGTGCTGTCGGCAGCGTGCTAGCCTCCTCTGTGTGACCCCTGCCCCATCCATTCACCTTCCACACCACAAGGAAACGGGGCCAGAGGGAAGATGAAGAAGCAACCATTGCCTGTGGACGGTCCGGACTGGAGAATGCAAAGCCAGAATAGCGTGCATGGGATCTGCCTCAGGCCCTTTGCACTCCCGCTGTGCTTCCGCAGCCTGGGAACACGGCCTCCTTCAGAAGGTATCCTAACTCAGCAGCTACCCGCAGCAGCAATACGCAACCTTGGGACGCTCCCTGCCTCTCCCACCCCCACCCGCTGAGCCCGGCCGAGCCAGACTCCTGAAGAACGGGAGCCCCACCTTTGCTCAGAGACCTGGAGGCAAAGGAGCCGGGAAGGCCCGAGGCGCGTGGTTGTCAAACACTGGCCTCCCAGACGCTCCCCTGGCCGTCAGCAGTGATGCCAACGATCCTGGAGCCGAGTCCCGCTGTACTCTGTCCACTAAATGAATAGCTATTTTCTTGTCATTTTTTTTAAGCGCAACTCTTGCTTCATGCTGCTTAAGTCACCTGACAAATGCTGAGAAATAAGTAACCACGGACATTTTAATACCATTTCACTGCTGTTTTACGAGTGTTCCTTATTTAACAAAAAATGATCTTTTAGCTCGTTTGCTTAAGACCTTTTCTTTCTGATGGCTAGTGATGGTTGGGTTGCACTGAGCCTTTCCACTGACTGTTGAGTAACTGCAGAGCCACCGGGGGTGCAGAGGTAGTGGGGGCCTCCCCCAACAAGATCACCATGGCCTGGGCTGCTGCTTTAAATCTCCACCTTGCTAATAACCACTGTCATCACCCCAGTGCTCGCAAGAGTGCACCTAGGAGGTCCTAGACCCTCTCCCTAGGACTGTGGTTCCACCCACGGCACTGAACCCCTTCCTGACACCTGAGTCCCAGCCCAGAAACATGGTCCCGATTGACCAGCAGTGCAGCCCGGCAATGCCAATGTGCAGCCCAGGTTGAGAATGGCAGCCCTGGAACAAGGAACACAAGGTTGATTGCCCCTTGACCTTGAACACTGAGTTAGTTCTGAAAATTATGAGTAGCTCAAACCCAAGATCCACCTCCCTTTTGTCTCTAACGGATCGGCCAAAACCTGAACTCTAGGGCCCTAACCCTAAGAAGAATATTCAAGAGGAGCCAGCATCCCTGCAAGAGAACAGAGAGCATGAGTTTGGGGTCAAACCCACCGGGATTGGAATGCAGCTAGTCTGTGTGACCTTACACAAATGTCTGCACCCTCTCTGATCCTCAGCCTCACTCAGCCAGTGGTGGGTGGGGGTGACTGATGAGGCCCCAGGTTACAGCAGGAAGACTGGAGAATGCCCAAGCTATAGGGTGCAGTGCCCGACTCGTGCACAGCAGCTGGGATGGCTGGGATTGCTGTTGGCGTCCGAGGCAGGCCGTGTCCATGGTGGGTCCACATCTGTCCCTCTGTCCACCCAGGCTCTCAGTATTTGCTCACTCACTGGAATCTGTCCTGGAACAATCCATTGTGAGCTCGAGGGGTGGCCAGCGTTGCCAATCTTTGGATCTGGTGAAGTAGCCGCCCCCCCCCCCCGCCAGCTCCATCAGTCACCCCAAGCCCCACCCTGTGTGCAGGCGACTTTGACTCCTGCTGAAACAACCGCCCATCTTAACGCCAGCCTCTGTCTTACCTGAGGTAGCAGCCTTGATTTTGAAGGGATTAGACCTCACTCGATTGTTTGAGTGCTGCCAACTCTCTCTTGAGGGCCAGGCGCTGAGACTATCAGTGTGCGTAGTCCCAGTGAGTGTAAGCATCGAGGCCCAGCAGCTCAGGTAGATGGGTAGACACAGGGTGTGGCCTTCCTGAGATGGGCGTGGCCTGGGCAGGAGGGGAGGTGCATGTCATCCACCGTGGCTCTTTTAGTGACTACAGCTCCTTTAGCACGTTGGGGGTATCTGTGCCTCCTCAGACCTACGTCATCATCATCTGTGTACCCACCCAGCCCTGGGCACTCGGCACGAGCTATCTCATGCAATCCTTCCAAGGACTGTGGCAGGGGACTGGAGAGAATGGACAAACCAGAGAAGGAAGCCCGCCCAGCACCCTGTGAGCACCAGACAGTGAGAGCACAGAGGCCACATGCACACACTGGGCATGCCAGGTGGCAGGGAGCTACAGCAGCACCACCCAGGGCCAAGCCTTAGATTCTGCACCAAGCTCACTGAACCCAACATCCTCCCCTAAAATCATGCACCTGCCACACAGAGAGACCCAGAACCCAGAAGTCCCTGTGCCTAAGTCCTGTCTGAGCCCAGGAAATGGGCAAAACGAACACACAGCCCTCGGTCCTCACTGCCCATGACTTCCTGTTCCACCTCAAGGGTTCTCTCTCTTCTTTACAAAGCAAGAAACAGTAAATGATGTTTTGGCCTAGATGGTGTCCTTGGTGGGTCTCTTAGGGACGTGCCAGAGATTCATGTTTTCATTTTACAACCTGTCTTGGCCAGCAGGAGGCAGGAGCCATTCAGGGGAGAGGATGGGGAGCCCAAGGTGACGTCCATGGAGAAGGACATCTCGACCGAGACTTGTACAGGTGTCTCCCTCCCACACCCCATAGGTGCACAAGGTATCCCGGCCCCCACCAGCCTCATGTCTCCCCACTGTCCCTGCTTCACCCAGCAGCCCTGAGTTCACCAGCTGTGCCCCTCCTAGCAGGTGCCTTCATGGCTGGGGGCATGGCTGTTCTCTTGTAAGACCTGATTTTTTTTTTTTAGATTTTATTTATTTATTTGAAAGGTATAGCTACAGACAGAATGAGGCAGAGACAGGGAGAAAGCTTTTCTATCTGTCAATCTGCTCCCCAGATGGCCCCAATAGCTAGAGTTGAGCTGATCCAAAGCCAGAAGCCAGGAGCTTCCGGGCCTCCCATGCTTGTGCAGGGACCCAAGCACTTGGGCCATCTTCTGCTGCTTTCCCAGGTTATAGCAGAGAGCTGGATCAGAAGTGGAGTACCCAGGACTCAAACCGGTGCCCATATGGAATGCCTGTGCTGCAGGCAGAGGCTTAGCCCATACGCCACAGCGCCGACCCCAGATCCGAAGCTTACAAGAGAATCTTACAAGCTCTCTGCTGCATGAGGATGGCAGGGTTTGTGACAGGCATCCCTACTTCACCAGCTACCTCAGACACACCAGATTCTCCAGGCCACAGGTCCCTGGACTTCACTCAGCATCCCTAATTTCTTTTCTTTTCTTTCTTTTTTTTTTTTTTGTTAAGATTTTATTTTATTTATATGAAAGACAGAGTTACAGAGAGAGGTGGAGACAGAGAGGTCTTCCATCCATTGGTTCACTCCCTAGATGGCTGCAATGGCCGGAGTTGCGCCCATCCGAAGCCAAGAGCTAGGAGCTTCTTCCAGGTCTCCCACATGGGTGCAGGGGCCCAAGGACTTGGGCCATCTTCTACTGCTTTCCCAGGCCATAGCAGAGAGCTGGATCAGAAGAGGAGCAGCCAGGACTCAAACCGGCGTCCATATAGGATTCCAGTGCTTCAGACCTGGGCTTTAACCCGCTGCACCACAGCACCAGCCCCTGTGTCCCTAATTTCTACAGGTGCCCAACCTGTTACCTTACCAGGTCGATGTCCTCTCATACCCAGATAGCCCCAATTGTCCCCTAAAGAACTACCCTGGCTCTCAAGGAGAACATGGTATGGGAGGCTCCAACTAGGAGGTAACTGGGACATCAGCAGCCCCACAGCTAAACAAGGAGCAGGTCCAGGGACAACGGGAGGTGCACCTCTGCAACCTGGCTGGCCCCTGCACCCAAGCAGGCCTGCGTGTGAAAGACATCGGTGGGGCAGTCATCCCCTTCCCCTCCCTGGGATCCAAATGCAAAGTGGTCACCAAGGCAGAGGGCCTGGCCAGAGCTGCCTTTGCACAGCCCCAGGGGCCCAAATTTCAGGGCCCATGCTCGAAACTGTGTGTGGCGCCCCCTAGAGGTTCCAGCCTGATGGCTCAAAGGCTAGCCCTTGTGAGGGCCTTTGTGAGTCCCCTGTCCCGCCCAACTGCATTTGTTGCCCTGAGTGGGCCTGGATGTGCACTGACCACCAAACCAGTTGGTGCCACTCAACGCTCAGGCTGAAAGGCAGCCTCACCTCCTGGCCTGAGGTCACTCCCGCCTCTTCTTTGCTGTGACCACATTGGAAGTGTTAGAGGACAGAGCCAGCAGCCCTGTGAGGCTGGGGCTGGGGTGTCCGCTCCCCCAGGAATGCTCCCCAGTCCCCTTCCTCCCCCTCTCCAAGCCCCTGCCTCTCAAGATTCTGGGCATCTTAGGAAAGAACAGAGCATGCTCAACCCAGAGACAGGCATGCATGGAGGCCTGCAGGTGGCTGGCTCCCAGCAAACAAGGATGTAAACCAGGAGCGAGCTTGTCAGCCTGCTGAGCTGCTGGCAGGAGAGGAACCTCCATGCAGGACAAGGGCGGAAGGGCAGGGACTCTGATCTGTGCTTAGGGCACAGCAGGATGTAAGTTTA